TAGGGATGGCAATAGCCCCCCGCTAGGGGTGCGAACCATTCGGGGGGGGAGTACCACCACACTATTACCACACTGGGGGTCCAAACCATTCCGTGTGTGGGGGGGGCCTCTAACACCCACCTCCTCCGAAGTCGGGCGCCGCCAGGTCCCGCTCCCAGCCGTCCACCTTCCTCAGGTGCTGGTAGACCAGGTTCTCCTTCTCCTGAGGACTGACTGCGTCCAACAGCGCGTAGTCCAGCTGCGTCTGGGCGGGGAGCAGCGCCGGGAGTTCGCCGGTCTGGGCGGGCAGCAGCGCCGGGAGTCCGCCGGCCGCCGCCATCTTGCCGCCCTCCGTCCCCCCCCTCGCAGCGCTGTTTACCCACCTGCCTTTCCCGCGCCGCACATTCGACACGTCCTGCCTGTGCAGCCCGCGAAATTAACTCCCCCCGAGGCGGCGCGAGTCTAGTTTGAAAAACGCGGCATTTCTTGTGTTCAAAAAAACCGCAAACAACAATAAGATGACGATTCGCAGCGGCACATTCGTCAAAAAAAACCAACGACGGCCAGCGGTCGGTAGATTCGACACTCGCATTTTTTTTTTCCGTTCGAGGAGGAGACAGAAAGACACGGTGAGAAGGGAAGATGATGAAAAGGAATGAAAGATGCTAATATTTGTAGGGCGCCAAGCGGGAGTTATGGGGGGCGGAGTCGGTGGGTGTCGAAAGTGCGGGAACGGATCGGGATGCGCTGCGGGGGTGAGGTATGTGGGGGATGGGGGGGCAGGAAGGATCATCCAGCTGTAAATCATTGCAAATCTCCCTCCTGGCAGGCTGCCCCGCTTCAATGGAGCCACAGGGAAGAGAGCAACCGTCTTGGAGGGATGAGACCGGCCCCCCAGATTGACTTCCCGCCGTGCGTGGCCATGTCCCAGGGAGGCCCGTTGGAAGAGGACATTTGGGAGTATAAATCCATTCGCAAACCAAAATGCGTGCCGCGGGGTCAGGACGCGGTGACCCCCTCCACTTCCCTGCCGCTGCCCAGCCCCCGCAAAGGAGACGGTGGGAAGAAGAGGAGGAAAAAAGCATCGGGGAAAAAGGCCAAACCCAAGACCAGCGAGCAGGAGGCCCCGGGTCAAGCCTTTGGCAAAGAGGACCAGAGTGGGCAGGCGCAGGATGATGGCACTGCTCCCGCCAAGCTGAGCGGGAGCTGTAACAAAAAACAAACGCCGCAAAAGGCCAGGCCAATTTATGAGGGCTACTGTCCAAGCTGCCAAATGCCCTTCTCTTTACTCTTAGTGCAGACCCCCCGGTGGCATGTTGCTGAATGTTTGGACGCTCCAAGTGCTGCTGGAAAAGGTAAGCAGGTGCCAAGAGAGAGGAGACGCCCAACAGGTTTTATATAGTCAAATGAAATTGCTGTGAACCTAGGTCGTGTTTCACTCTGAATTGCACTGGTGAGGTATCCGACGCGGTTTTTGTAGTGGATGAGAAGCCATTTTGGTTTTGCATCATTTTATCGGTATTCATTTCACAGCAGGGTTTGCGCTCGGACGTCTGTCACAGGACTTGGATAGACTGACTCTTGTTCGTTGGTGGCCGACCTGCAGCACAAGGGCCACAAGCTGCAGGCGCAGGCTCCGAATGTGTCGTGGGGCAGATCATGGGGAGGACAGGCGGTGTGGGCAGAAAGAAGAGCGGCAGATTGGGCAGGGGCGGAAAGTGGGACAGCAGATTGGGCAGGGAGCGGAAAGCAGGGTGGCGGATCAGGCAGGAGGTGGAAAGCAGAGTGGCAGATTGGGCAAGGAGCAGAAAACAGCAGCAGAGTGGGTGGGCAACAGGGATTTCATGGCACTCAGGGTGGGGGCGGGGCTAATTGTTGGCACACCAGCCAAAAAGATTGGCCATGGCACGGCCTAGCCCCGGGGTGGGGGGAGTGGTGAGGCCTGGCCCCGATCCAGCTGGGTAGGGAGGGGGCATGGCCTAGCCCCATGGGGAGAAGAGGGTATGGCTCATTCCCAACCGCGCTGTACAAGGTAAGGGGGTACAGCCCAGCCCTGCTCTCTCTCTGTAGAAGGAGGGGGCATGGCCCGGCTCTGATCTGCTGCAAGGGGTTTGGGAATTTGGCACCAAGTTGGGGTGACGGTGTTAACTGCCACTGATCCCCTGCCACCAAATTCCCGTACTTGTAGGGAGCCCTACAAGCCAGATGGGTTTACCGTGGGTTGGATTTGGCCCATGAGCTGGAGGTTGAGTACCCCAGTGCTAGCACATATTTAGCATTTCACAAACTATGCCAACATTTATGGCATAATCCTGAATTCTTTCCTAACAAAAACCTTCTATTAATTAAAATATCACTTCTGTTTGTCACTGAGTTTTTCTTTCCTTAGACAACTAATTCTATGATCCCTGGTCCAAATTGCTGTTCAGATCTTTGAGGACAGGATGTGGAGGCAAAAATGAAGTCTTGAGTGCTGAGTCCAACCAATGAAAGACTAGTGCTGATATATTAGGCTTCAGACCTTGCACAGGACGCTGCAGAAATACCATCTAGAATGAGTCTGCTATGAAAATGTGAACCTAAAAGTAGATTTGTTTTCATTTCCAGATAGGAGTGGGAGCAAGAGGTCTGGGACCCTCTAAAATAGTGTTATGTGCTACCATCTTTTAGGGATCCATGGCAAACTTATAAATCATTCAGGATCTTTTGCAGTTTTTTGAAAATTGGAAGTATACAGCCACAAAACTTTAAACTTAAAGGATGCTTCATTAAGTAACCACTTCTCTTTTCTTGTTATAATTTTGTAGCTTTTCTTGAAAGGCCTTTGAAGTCATTGTAGAATAATAGAAAGGGGAGGTTTTAACTTGTAGTTTGTTCTATAGCCTTAACCTTAGGCCAACATGTCTGCCAACGTACTTTCAGCTTTGAAGTAAGTGTTGTAGAACCTTGCTTTTTGGCACCGAACCCAAAAATTCTCAAAAGGGTTTAAGGACACTGATGTAGACCATGGCATTTGTGACTATTAGGGGAAAAGCGCATGCATGCCTAAGTTCATGTTAGGGATGGAAAGCCATTGATTATTTATTAAGGTCCAAAGCGTAAAATACATATGGCCATGAGTAGTTGCTTTAGCATTTTAAAAAAATTATATGTAGCCCAACTGACAACTTTGAGGTAGGATTTTAGGTTAATGTGACTGAAAGCAGCTCTGGTCTGTCTCTGCCTTTGGCTCCAACAACTATTTACAGGGAAAAGCCTTTATTGGCCATGGTACAATATTGTGAAAAATCACTGTATATGTTCATACAAACCAGGGGTGGCAAACATATGGCACACGTGCTACAAGTGATGTGGACACCCTGTGTGTGGCATGTGGCAGATCAGGGAGGGAGGGAGCATGTAGCACAGCAACATATAGGACAGGAAGTGGAAAACAGGGCAACAGATCAGGCAGGGAGCAGAGCAGCAGATTGAAGAAGAGAAAAGGGATTAGAGTTACACTTGGGGAGGACAGAGGGCGAATCTGTGGCATGTCTGCCAAAAAACTTGTCCCGTACTGATATAAATGATCAATTGTGTTACTCTGTTTAACTTTTTTCTCAGAATGTCCTGATGGTTTACTGTGCAATTCTACTATTCCATCGCATTACAAGCGCTATACACATTTTTTTCTTGCTGCTAGTAGAGCAGGAGATTATCTTGTAGACTCTTCAGCACAAAGCCCAGAGAACAAGTTCGCACATCCTGTTGCTGCTAAGTCAAGCTGCTTTCCAGGCCTCCTGGATGAAATCTCACAGAGTGAGAAACAAACCAAGAATGTAAGAAATGCCCCAAATGATGATCATACATTTGCGGTACAGATTTCAACACAAGCAAAATCTCCAAGTATAAGCAATGTAAATGCCTCCTTTTCCATGAATGTTAAAAAGCCCGAGCAGAATCTTCCGCTCACAAAGACAGCAGATAATGATTGCCAGGTTCAGTTTTTTGATTTTCCATTTTCTCAAGAAAGTGAAGCTGGGGAAGACCTGGACAGTCAGAATGTCTCAAATCAATTAAACCCGTTACTACCAGAAGGTGATGTCAGTGACTGTGAAATTTCCTACTCCCCGCTTAGGAGTGGTGTAGAAAGTGTTGAAGAAACGGAGGACGAAGAGGATGAAGAAGAGAAGGAAATAAGAAAATCACGAAAGAAATTATTTCAAGTTCAAAACTTTGATGAAGAGAACCCTGAAAAGGAGGAATCTAGCTGTATGCTGTATAACCAATTTGATGATTCTCCATTTCAGCCTGAACTTGGATATGACAACATTAAAATGGAAGGTTTTATAATACAAAATGCACCTTGTAGAGAAATGGATGCCCAAGGCCATTTGAATGGTTGTGTTAGGCCAATTTCTCAGGGTCAGACAAACAGCTCTAATTTAGTATGTGCTGCTGATCAGTTAAAATGCCCACAAGGGGCACCAATTGCAGAATTCTCTCTCTCTCTTAATCATGACAAAACTAGGAAGGAATTTGACTGGCCAAAATTCAGTACCTCTGTTTCTAATACAGGTAGTTGGAAGCTAAAAGATTTTTGTGGTCAGAGTTGGGATTCTGTAGACTTGGCTATGAATGCTGACTCCTTTTCTTTGAAGGTCAAAGAAGAAGGTGGCAGTCCTCCTATGTCAAGGCAAAGTGTTATTTTGAAGGAATCAGGTGGCTTCTTAATTGATAAAGGTGAAATGGATACTAACACAACAGATCAAATATTATGCCAACAGAGTTTGCAGTCAGAGGGAGAAGGAAGCCTTCCTAATACAGCAAGTATACCCTTTCCCAGTGCAATCTCTAAAATGTTGCCATCTGCTTCTGCTGCAAATATCAACACCAAAGAATTGAAACAAATGGACATTGGTGTTTTCTTTGGATTAAAACCCAAAGCAACAGAAGAGAGCAAAGGAGAGAAGCATCCTTGTGAAGGAACACAACCCTCAAGTCTACCAACTTCCAGTGGAAAGAGGCCTAAGCGACAGAAGAGGAAAGCTGAAGGGTCTGTAGGAGACGTAGATAAAGTACCAGTCAATTCAAATACAAATGGAGTTTGTGTAGGCCCAGCTTCTGGTACACAACAGAGGTGGAGAAAAAGATTTAGAGAATCCTCTTATACAGAAGATGGAACAAGAAAAAAATATTGTCCTTTCTACAAAAAAATATCAGGTGAGATATCTCATTAACTGGAGAGGTTAAATATAGAGATATTCAGGCTGGATATTACGTTTTCCAGCCGTCTTTATTTTGTTTGCTGTATTAACCATTTAGATGCCAATTCTTTCAAGTGCTCTCTTTATACAGACCTCTGTAGAAATTGGTAGCATTCTGCTTAAGTGCATGTGCCCAAAAGAAGCTGATTGAAAGATTGGGGACTTAAACTATTTGAAGATTATCACTGATAAAACAAGTGTGTAGCATATAGATCCCTTTGTGAAGATATTTCTGTGAAAATAACACACTTATTGTCTCATGCTATATGTTCTGAAGTATGATTTGATGGGGAGAGTTAAAAGCAGGCCAGGGATTTCGGAGTTGGGTATTATTGAGGCTCAATTAAGACTCATGCTACTAAACATTTTTGGTGCTTTTGAAAACCTTCCTCTTAATATTTCCTTTTTCTAATTCATTAGCTGTAGCTTTATTTTTAAGAGATGGCCAACAGCCAGTTATGGTCAGAATGTTATTTTGTAATTATGTAGCAAATTTAATGGGTTTAAAGAAAAGACGTTTCTTTTTTGCTGAGTAGAACAAACTCCCTTGTTATATCAATCTTTATCATAACTTATGTAAATGCAGTTACAGTATAAAGTACCAAATCTGTCATGTTTTACCACTGACAGATGTATTCAGAGAACAAAGGTCAGTTATCTTCTAATTAACTGTTATAACATTTAACAGTAATGCTAAATGGCTTGATGGAAATAGAGGGTTAACTGCATTGTCAGAGCTGAGTGGAGAATCATCTGTTACAGTTATCTCATCTGCAGTGTGTATTTTAAGTTTTGGGTACCAGAGCCTACTTGTGTGTGTGTGTATACACGTGTGTGTGTGTGTATAGCTACATGAATATTGAATATTTTAGAAATAACATTTTCTCACTTGACCAACTGTACTTGAAACCATTGGCAGACGTCTATCAGTACTTGTGTTTGGAACTCATGTAATTTGTATTTAAAACAGTAAAAACTTCCATACTGTTAACGTGCAGCTCATGGCTGTAAACGACAATCATTTTCGGGTTGAATACAATGTTAATGGCTTTTCTGCTACGAAATGAAAATCTGACCAGAATCTGGCTGTATGGTACTCTCTGCATTTTATTTGACTTACTTTTGTTGTATTTATTTTTGTAGGAACTGGTTTCACAGTTGATGCCTTCCAGTATGGAGAAATTGAGGGCTGTACAGCTTATTTCCTCACTCATTTCCATTCTGATCATTTTTGTGGTCTAACAAAAAACTTTACATTTCCAGTCTATTGCAACAAGGTAAGTTTTGATGTTTATTTGACATTTAACTAAATAAAACTGTGAATGGAAACCAAAAACACAGACATGGGGCTAGATTGTCTGCTGTGATTGAGGTGTATTTGGCACAGCTGAGGTAGATAGGAACCCTTTGGTTCCTCCTGATGCCACTTGGTTATTGGATCAGCACCCTGCAAGCTACTGGCTGCTGCGTCGGCTGCTGACAGTCCCAAAAAACTGTTATAGACATTAGAGAATAGAAAGATGAAAGGGATCTGTTGCTATATTCTCTTTCTTATGGCCACTTTGCCTGGTTCAGCTGTAAAGGGATGGCATAGGAGTCTCCATTATCAAGAGAGACTTTCTGGAACTCAGCTATTTAAATTGCTTTGCAGCAGTTAAGTAGCACAAAGAAGTGGGAGCCATGAACATTCATAATGTACCTGTAAATTGTAGCTTACAGATCCTTCTTTCAATTTATTGTTTTTCTTTGTCTTTTTCCTTCAGCTATTAATGAAAGTATGTGAGACTGACCTGCCTTTTTACTATTCTGTTCTTTCAATTCTCAGTGTCTTTGTGTTTTGTAGATAACTGGCAACTTGGTGAAGAGCAAACTTCAAGTGCAGGAGCAATACATCCATATATTGCCAATGGATAAGGAGTGTATGGTGAATGGGATCAAAGTGGTATTACTTGATGCCAATCAGTATGTACCTTTGCAGATGATGTGTAGATTTTGCAAATCTTGTAGGTCAAAGTCAAAATATTTTCTAGCTAAGGAAAATTATTTTTAGAATAGCTTAAGTGACTGAGGAGCATAGGTTTCACTTTAAGTGATTTGGATATTTAGGAGCCCAAATGTCAATGGGACTTTGGTTTCTAAGTATTGAAGTCTATTTAAAGGGCTTAATCCTAAATTTATTGTGTGTATTTGAAACAAATTCATTGCCAGGATACCTAACAATCCCCAGGGTTGTAACTTATTAATTCTTATCACAAATCAGCCAGTTGATTCTCTAGAGCATTTCTGGTAGTATTTTAAAAAGAAAAAGGTTAAAAAGCATTGAGAAACAACTTTCCAAAGTAGTCCAAAGAATGCTTGCTTCAATCAGTAATGCCTAATTTGAAACACCTGTGAGCAGGTGTGTTGAAAACCTGCAGCTTCTACTAAGATAATGGAAACTTCTGGCTGTGAAAATAAAGCCTGTGGTCTCTCAAGTTGTGTATTAATATGTAGTTAATACTATTGAAATCAAGCTCTAAAAAGACCTGATTCCACAATCATTTAAATCAGCTGCAAAACTTCTGTTAAATTCTGTAGTGCAGTTAGACTTGCTTGTTCAAGGCCATATAAATAATATGTGGTGTTGTCAAGATTAAAATTTAGTATCTTTTGCTTCCAGTCTTGTGCTCCCGCCATATGCCTTGTGGCACCTTATTTGGCTGTGTATTGGAATAAAACTCCTTTCTTTTTATGTGTATAAATATAAATTCAGCATTGTGTCACAGCTGGCTTGAATATTACTTATCTTAGGACTTGTTTATACTTTGAGTGATAAGATTCCTTGCAAGTCCTTTGAGAACCTTTTCTGGGAATGGGAGAAAACTGTTGATTATGTTGTTTGGACACTCTTTTCTTTTGCTTTCCCCTTCAATATAAAAAGAATATAAACTTTAGGTACAGAGTTCAAGTTTTTGGAGCACTTACCCACTGTGGCCTTTAAGCTGTGATCTCTACCCAATGCTTCCCTCTTGAGATTTTTGTTTATCTTTTCTATAGATAATTAATTTCCAAAATAGTCTCACTTTGGCTTCCCATTTTAAGTGTTTGCCTTTCAAGGCAGACAGCTGCATGGAAAAAGCGCACTAATAGCAATAATAATTGATTCACAACAGCCATAATAAAGAGAGAAGAATGGTTCCTACCAGCAGTCGGTTCTGAATGTAGGTTAATGCTTAAAATCTGTAAAGGGAACTTAAAAGCAAATATTACACTAAGTAGTTCACAGCAGTGGAGATAGCAGTTACAGTTATGAAATATCTATTTTTATAAATACATAAAAATAACTGTCTTCCCTGCTGTCTATTACAGCATTAATTCTTAAGTAGGGTGCCTTGAGATCCTCTTATAAGGTCCTTATAAGCTGCCTCACAATGTTAGCATTGTTGCATGTGCAAACATGATGTACTACATATAGAGATTTTAAATAGGACTTCACAGTGTCAAAACAATTCTGACCTGTTAAGATCTATCTGAGGTCCTTGCAGCAAGAAGAATTGCTTTATTTTTAATTTTTTTTTACAGAAAAATAGAGGGAAAAACTAAGAGTTTGCACTTTCTGAAGGGTACCTTAGTCTAATGGGTGTTTTGAGTCTAAAATTTGAGAACCATTGCATTAGGCCATCAAGAAAGCTACACATAATGCAGGGTCAGCCTGAAGCTTGTGACGTACCTAACAGAACATTGATCAACTCAAAAGAGCTCATGCTTGATTTAGGTTTTTAGGTATTTCTTTCACTTCTCATCTAACTTGAGGACTGTAGCCTATTGATAGGACTTAAACAGGGTTTATGTTTTTTAGTTTCACTGGAATTGGGAAAACAAATGAAATGTAGCCCTTAACTAGCATTTTGTAGCCCTAATATTCTGTATTACTAATCTCACAGCAGCACTGTGGGCAGGTAATCTACACTTTATGGATAAGAGAACTGGGGCAGAGTTTAATTAAGGGTGGCATGTCAGTGGCTGTAGACAAGTTAGCATCAGAACTCGCATTTGACAGCAGGAGTGCCTTGCCCAAACTTCTGTGATTTAAAATATTTTATCCCTACTGCTGGTTGGAAGCAATACAGAATTGGGGTAATGTATAAAATATGTATATAGAAATAATAAGGGGTATGTGTGTATGTTTTCTCCCAGTTGTCCAGGTGCCACAATGATCCTTTTTTGCCTTCCCAATGGAACTGTTATACTTCACACAGGGGACTTCAGGGCAGATCCTTCTATGGAGCGCTATCTTCCCCTGACTGGTCGAAAAGTCCACACCCTTTACTTGGATACCACGTATGTTACTTTGACCTGTGCTAGTAACACATGTATGTCTGGTAACAGCTAGTACTTTATAATTAAAATTGAAATATAATATGACTTATTTCTGGTTTAAATTATATAATCCCCCCCCCCCCCCCGGTCCAAAAACAACAAAGGTGTATGGGATAAAGATTTCTAAAGTATTTCAGATGGGCCCATCCCTTATAACTTATAGGTATGAATTGCTCACCTATAAAAGCAGAGCTTTATGAAGTTGAAACTGGCCCTATGTGATCAAGTCATTATGCAAGAAGAGAATAATCAAGTAGTGAAAGACTGCTAAATGTTGGAGTCGGTGGTATGTAAGTTTTCATTAGACCTTTCTGTCATCACACAACATTGTTTTTTCTGTAAATGATGACTGATTCCCAGCTACGATTCACTTACTTTCTGTCCCATGTGTTAATAGGAGTTATCCTTTTTTTACAGTTTATATGAACGACAAAAATAAAGGATGTAAGGATATTATTAGTATTTGGCACAACGCCCAACTTTTTGGGAGGATTTGATACTTCAAAGTTTTCCTCCTTTCTATTTATAGGGTCAGTTGTTTAGATAAATGAATACTGGCAATGGCCTTAATAAACATTTTATATAGAGAAAGTATATATGCATATTGTATGATGAATGAGTCTAGAATTTCATTTTAAAACACCTTATTCCACAATGATTTTTTATAAGTGAATTGCTAATAGACTGAATCAATATTGATGAATAATCCAACTTTTTTTCTTCTGCTGTTGTATATGTGCAAGTCTGACAGCCTGCTTAATAAAGTAAGATTTTATGTTCTCTTATGCTCTCTTATGTTCATATTGTCTATTACATATATGTATCCTGTTTCCATTTCTTAGATATTGCAGTCCTGAATACACCTTTCCTTCCCAACAAGAGGTTATCCAGTTTGCTGTCAATACTGCCTTTGAGACAGTAACATTAAATCCACGTACTCTGGTTGTCTGTGGCAGCTATTCCATTGGGAAAGAAAAGATTTTTTTAGGTGAGTGAGTATATTAGATCAAAGCAACTATATACATCAATATAAAGTAAACTTTTTACCCAAAGGTAGCAAAGCCTTAGCTTAGATATTCTGTATAGAAAGAGAAAAATAGCTTATTTTCCCTTTTCATTTTTAGTTAAGTATTTATACTGTGTTAAGCTGGAATTGGCTCAGGTGAAAACTTCTTTTCTTGGACCCACTTCAGTTTACAAATAGTAATGTTTTAAGAAATACTCAGAAAATCGTTATTAGATAATCCTAACTTATCACCAAGGCTAAGTATGGACAGTCAAAAAGCCCAAGGCTGAATTGATTCAGTCTTCGCAGATTAGGTGGAACTGATAAGCAAGTGAAGACATTGACTTCTGATTCTGGAAATGCAGCCAAATTCCTGCAGTGGCCCAGGCCAGAAGCTGGGGAGCACACCTCCCTGCCTGGCTAGAGTAGACAGCTTGGGCCAAGCCTAGCCTGCCCATCCTGCTGGGGAGGGGTTGTGGGGGAAGGTGCAAAGCATCCTGGGATGCTGGGCGATTGTGAGTTAACTTGAATCTGGAGGGGACTTGGGACAGGAGTTCAGTAAACCGATTTAACCTCAATCAGTTAAATCTGATACTACATCCATCCAGGTTATCGTAAACCAGTTTCGGCCATTTTGAAGGCAGTTTATGTTCACTGAACTTCTGTTGTGTTACAGATTTGATACAGATAATTGGTCATGTGTGATTTCTGTCCCTTGCCTAAAAGTTTCTATATGGTTATGGTAACATCAGAAAACTGAGAACCTTTGTAACAAAGAACAGTTAATCAGATAGTTCAAGCAATGATAAGGCTGGACTCCTCCGGAGCGCCAGAATGAACATCAACTCAGACCCCAATCTCAAAGTAACATCCTGTTTATGCTGTTTTATTCCATTACTTTAGCTACTTGGCATACAATGTTATATTTGTCTGTATTTATTAAGTGTTGAACTATGAGACAACTTTTATCAGCTGTCCAAAAAAATTACAGTTTGTATCTGAAGCTGAAATGTATCATGACTAAGTCTTCAGCTGTGTGTGTGTGTGTTTTCAAAAATGCCCAACAGTATTTCTGAACTCCTAATCTCCTGAAACCTTTGTCCTATTTGTTTCACATGACACTGGTTATTTAATAATGTTTTTGCTTCTTTATTTACAATTAGAGGACTAGTTATTGTAGCTCTTCAACCTCACCCAAATATATATTCTATTAGTTTTTCCAAGTTAGTTTTTAAAAAAATGTTGGGAACCCTTGATATTGATTTTCCCCCCCCCCCAATAATTTAGATTCACTTTCTGAACATCCATTTTGGACCTTCGCTGGGTTTACCAATAATGCATAGAACTTTTGATGTAAATATATTCCTATTAGAAATTAAAAATAATCCACATCAATCTGTTTAATAAACCAAACTATTTTCTGTTTTTTGTGCCTTACACTTCAATCAATTATAATGTGGGAAGAAAATATAAATATAATTTTCTGAAGCAAGCAGCCCGTGCAGCATCTGTATTTTTTAAATTCTAGTCATGGTGGCCTTATCTCAGTGAAATTCAGACCAGCCTTAAACTCTTAAGCCCTTCCTTCCCCCTTTTCAAACACTGCACGAGGTTCCAGCTTTTTGGAACAAAACATTAGTGTATTGCCTGGAAAATCAACATTGGTAAAGTATTATTTTATTTCATTATTTGTTTTATTCTTTCTCTTCACCTCTCCCAAAAGATGACACAATTATTCCAAATCTAATCTCCAAAATCAGCATTTACTAATAGTTATCATGGTTTTCCCCTATCTTTTTTACAATATGAATGAGCTATTGTATCTTTTGGTAACTGTGGAGAGTATTTATTTATTTATTTATTTATTTTATCTATGATAACCACTTGTTTTATATGACAAAAATGGTGTCCATATCTTTAATGGTAACTACTGAGCTAGTAAGATGATCAGGAACGTCCTAGAAGCAGCAGAGGAAATGTTTATTACTTGTCGAGCTATATTTTGTTTATTTTTCCCCCATTTGTCTACAGCAATTGCTGAAGTTCTTGGTTCTAAAGCAAGTATGTCTCGTGATAAATACAAAACACTTTGCTGCTTGGAGTCAGCGGCTGTTAATTCCATCATTACCATGAATTGGAAAGATACTTTGCTTCACGTTCTTCCCATGATGCAAATTAATTTTAAGGTATGTTTAGAAGGTATCGTCTCTGTCTGTCTGGCTAATTTGGGGGGATTGGATGACATAACAGTAATGTTTTGTCTGGTGTTCTTAAGCATCTGTCAGATCGTATTAATCTAGTGATGTTTTGATATATAGCAACACATTGAAAAGGAAACACAATTAAACATTAATAAGTGGCTTCAAACCTGATGCACAAGAAGTGTAATTTGACGCTAATGCAGAGTGCGTGCAGGATAGATAAGATGAGATGAGACTTGTTCAAAGGCTTGCTGTTAGTAGTGAGCTTTTTTGAAGTAGATTTAATGTCATGATTGCAGGATCTGCCCTACTAACAATTAATATACCATGACACACTGTCCCTGTTTTCTGGGGGTTTTTTGTGGGTTTTTTGCTAATTTGCATTATGTAAAAGAAGAGTGGAAGAGTTTTCAGTCTGAGACTTCTCTAGAATGGGCACTTTCACCTACAATCTAGCCTTTTAAATACTGCTTTTTTTGTTTGTTTGTTTTTTTAAAGTAGTAAAAGTCCTTGAATCCCAGGGCTAACTTTTGGCTTTAAAATGAGGAAAATGTGATTGTAAAAATGATTTTCTTTCCTTTGTTGCTGTGCTGAAGATCAGCACAAACCACAGAGGAACATATGAAGAGAACAGTGAAAGTGGTATACAGTGTGATTAAATATATGTTGTGTGCACTTTTTTCTTAATCCTTTAGTGTTTCATTTAACTAGACTCTCATAAATTGCTTGTAGTAACATTAAGTTTAACCCCCTTTTTAAAAGAAGAGCTCTCTGTGGTTTCTTTTTTTTTCTTTTCTTCTTTAAGTTGACTTTAGAGTGCAAGTTTCATTCAAGGTAATTGCCACACTGGCTGATTTCCAAAGAGAAATTTGGATTTAATTTTGGGGATGGTTCTGTGTGTGCTTGTGAATTTTGTACTGATGATGCTAGATTAGTAGATTTAAAGGATGTTCCTTGTTCATAGCACAGCTACAATACAATGTAATCTTCTCTATACTGTATAGACTATATCTATAGATACATAAAGTTCACTTTCCTTACTGATTCATTTCATTTGTGTTTAGTCTCTGCTGAAACTGCCAACAATAGCACCAGGTTTAGGGATGGTTTTTATGATCTGAACCCAGAAACTTCATTATAGAAGATGGTGGAAGAGATAGAAGTGTTTTGTTTTAGTTTAAAGGAAAAAAATACAAGTTAATTGATTCCCTCTTTTTATTTGTTGATAGGTGAAGGGTAAGATTTGGAAGATTAGATCAACATCTTCCCCCCCCCCCCCCCCCCCCGACCACAAAGA